AGTTAAGTTAAGAAAGTCTCGATGTATAAGTCTCGATGTATAACTGATCTATGTAAGTTATCCCATGTATTTCTCGAGGGCTCCGCACGGAAAAACCCTCCGCAAAGCTTTCGGGAATAACAAAAAAATAATTAACATCATCATCATCATCATATAATAATGATAATACCAAGAATAATAGTACCTGTAGCAACAAAAGAAACAACACAGTAAGTGCTACTACGACGACAACTACCACTAATAATCACTATGATAATACACATAAGGAGAATGGTAATAATCAGAGTAAAGTAGTAATAATAATGCTGATAATAATAGTCGTTAATGATGTTGACAATAGCCCCAAGAATTATATTAAGAAGCGTAACAAGCGCATTACATAATAACAATAATAACAACAATGACAATAACACTAACAATATCAAAATCAACAACAATCATTACATTAGATATTGCATGAACATGGTTAACAAGTGGATAGGGCGCTCGGAACAAATCATCGAATTATTGTGACAAGGAACCCACGGGAATAATGGTGGCAAGTATTCAGGCCTACATATTACTCTAGCCGGTTTAGGGTTTACGATGGTTTAGGCAACTTCTCAGCCACAAGTTTTTGATCCGAGCTCTCCATGGCCTTGGTTTGTGGCCGAATGTCTAGGATTTTGGGGCTGCATGTTCCAGGACAGAGATGAGAGAGCTTGCTTTGGGCTTGTTGCGCCTACTCATGTCGAAAGCTTGTGCATGAACGACCTGAGCCCTAAACCTTAAATCCTAAACCCTAAACTGCCCTAAACCTTAAACCGTAAACCCTAAACCATTTAACCCTAAACCTTAAACCCTAAACCCTTAAACCGTAAACCCTAAACCATTAAGCCCTAAACCGACCCGAGGGAAACCGTTTCTTCATCAGCCGTCGCCGCGTCCGGCAGTCGAAGTCTAGATGTGCACGGCTGAGAGACATGATCTGAAGGAAGCCCAGCTCCGGTCCAAATCTGAGACGCAGTAAAGTGGCTCTGTAGCTATCATTTTGCTGCGGCTATACTTCTCATAGAGCTCCCAAAACTGCGGAATGTGACCGACTGGGTGTAGATTCCAATGGTTCGCGTCCGAAAGAATCTCACACCGCTTGATCGGCATCCAGGGCTTTATAGGGCCGAAGAAGTTGTAGCTCTTGGTCATTTGCGTGTAGTCAGACTTCTTCAAAGTTCGGAAAGCTCGCCGAATGGCGCTATACTCTGTGAATAAGAGTCCCTTGTCGCCTTCGGCACCTAGAAAGTCCCATCTTGAAGTATTGCGATCTGCGCAATACGCTTTGGATTCCCAGCCGGGATCGTCGCAATTTAGATGCCAGCCATCGGGGCCGATCTTCAAATCCCGCAATCCCCATCCCCTCTCTGGAGTGAAGCCAGCAGACAGCATATCCATCATGTCACTGAAAGCCCGTTGATTCGGCTTGAGGATGAAATTGCCAACTGCCAAGGGCGCATGCAGGCACCGATAGCTCAGAAACTCAACACCTTTGCATGTGGGTTTTGAGGCCAGTTTTGGGTATGTCGTTTAGGTTCTCATCAGGGACGGTCATCCTCCTTCAAAAGTAAACGCAATTTCCAAGAAGTCCGCCCACCTCCTGCCATCGCGTTGTCAATGTTTTCCAAGTCTGGTGGAGCATAAAAGTAAGCATCCACGTCCAAGAAGAAGATGGCTTCGTAGTCCGTCAGTGCAGCAAGCCTTGGTTCTTGATACGGAACTTATATATATATATGTATATATATATATACATATATATATATATCAAGGTACCACAAAAAGGATAAGTGGCGAATAATAGTGGTTTCCGCATGGAGGTGACTTACGTAAGAAAACTTTCTTAACACGAAACCCAGAGACCCAGCCTTCAGAGTGCTGGCCCTCAGTTTGAAGAAGGACGCCTGAGGATCGGCATGGTAGGGAGTGCCCAGGTCGAACGTCTCGAAGTCGTAGAAGCTGGTCAGGTTGGTGTGGAGCACTCTGATGCCCATCTCCAAGAGATAAGAGGCATTCTTGCCTCATGCTTGTCATACGCACTTTGCTTAGAGGGTACCGAAAAGGATCCATACATGTGGCCAGCTCTTTGTTCCATACAACGAGTGAGTCCTACAGTTTCAGAATAAGCATTGACCCAAGCAGGGTTTTATAAAAAAAACCCTCTTTGGTTCCTATGATTTCGGAATAAGCATTGACCTAAGCCGGTGGCTGTCCATGCCACCGGCCTTCAACCCAGATGCTACAAACCTTACACTCTAAACCGTAAACGACCAGCCACCCTAAACCCGCTTAGACCCTGAACCCTAAACCCTATAACCCTAAACCCGCTAAACCCTAAACCCTATAACCCTTAAGCCCACCCTAGAACCCTAAACCCGACAAACCTAAACCCTGGAATCCTACACCCTATAACCCTAAACCCTATAGCCCTATGACCCCAAGCCCCTCGACTCTAAACCCTAAACATCCCAAAGCCGGTTGCTGTCTATGCCATCGGTCAGCACCAGGGCATCCACCGAAGCACCCGGACCGGCTGCCTCTTGCATGAAGCCCCTGCTCGTGCCGTGTAGGGGCTATCAGAGTTTAGGGGTTTAGGGGTTATCAGGGTTTAGGGGCTTAGGGGTTTAGGGTTTCGGGCTATAGGGCTTCGGGCTTAGAGTCTAGGGCTTGGGGTTATAGGGTTTAGGGTTACAAGGCTTAGGGTTTAGAGTTATAGGGCTTAGGGGTTATCAGGGCTTTAGAGTTTGGGGCTGGGCGGGTTTTGGGGCTACAGGGCTTGAGGGCCTCATGCCCTAAAGTAGGGCTTTTTCAGGGCTTTCGGTTTTCCCTAAACCCTAAATCTTTAGGCCCTCAACCCGAAACCCTAAATCTTTAGGCCCTAAACCCTAAACCCTAAATCTTTAGGCTCTAAACCCTAAACCCTAAATCTTTAGGCCCTAAACCCTAAACCCTAAATCTTTAGGCCCTAAACCCCAAACCCTGAACCCTAAACCCTAAATCTTTAGGCCCTAAACCCTGAACCCTGAAACCTAAATCTTTAGGCCCGAAACCCTAAACCCTAAATCTTTAGGCCCTAAACCCCAAACCCTGAACCCTAAACCTTTAGGCCCTGAACCCTAAACCCTACATCTTTAGGCCCTAAACCCTAAATCTTTAGGCCCTAAACCCCAAACCCTAAACCCTAAATCTTTAGGCCCTAAACCCTGAACCCTAAACCTTTAGGCCCGGAACCCTAAACCCTGAACCCTAAATCTTTAGGCCCTAAACCCCAAGCCCTGAACCCTAAACCCTAAATCTTTAGGCCCTTAAACCCTAAACCCTAAACCCTCAATCTTTAGGCCCTAAACCCCAAGCCCTGAACCCTAAATCTCTAGGCCCGAAACCCCAAACCCTAAACCTTTAGGTCTTTCGGTTCTACCACCGTCTCCCAACAGATGGAAACCACTGGGCCTTAATGTGGGGGGCCTTAATACTTAGCACAGGGTTTTGTGGGGCTTCCTTATTGAGAATTTGTGGTATAATATACTCCAAACCCTATTCTTACGGTGTTGGGGGTTCCTTAGTGTAATTTGTAGTATAATAATACTCCAAACCCTAGTCTAATTATTAAGGCCCTCTTTTTTACATCCCAAAGGCCCGGAAGTGGAAGGCCGACACCTCACAGCTCTCCCGGGATGCTGAGTTGCAAGATCCTATGATAAGAAGAAGACCAGAAACAGGAGCGACACTTCAGGGCTCAGAGTTTCGGGGGGCTTTATCAACGATGGAGTTTGGAGAGTGGGACATAATCGAAACTGGGGACCCCTTCAGGAACCTAGGATCAAGTCTATAAGTATTCCAGCCCCTATTTTTTGGGTCCTGCTCACGTGGGCGCTGGCTGCCAGTGCGCAGACGCCCCGTCCTTGCGCATAGGGTCCCACAAAGGAGCCCTCCTTCAGGGTACTACTGTCGCGCTTTGGTTTAGGATTTAGGGTTTAGGGTTTAAGGTCTCCGACGAAAGCATTAGAAACCTACTAGGCTCGAAGCCACCACGATCAAGTCATACCTAAACCCTAAACCCTAAACACAAATCCTAAACCTTAACCCTAAACCCTACACCTTACCCCTAGATAGAGCACAAGCATTCGGAAAGACTTTCTACGAAATTTCTGCCCCGGCCTTCATGGACCAGTTCTGCTCCGAGAAGAAAATGGCTGGATCTGACCAAACCTTTCTTGAAGTCTGAACAGCCCTTTAGATGGTAGTTAAAAAGAAATTAGGGGTACCCTATTTTGGGGTCCTTTATAATAAGGATCCTACTATTTAGTGCACTATATTAGGGTCCCCTATTTTCGGAAACCCCCAAATAGGGCTTAGGGTTTGGGCCGTGTAAAATCAGCGTATATATGTGTACTCTTTGAGGAGCGGTGAAAGGGCTTGGGTGCCGAGGGTTCAGGGCTGAATGGTCCGCGCCTGCGGGGTTGAGCTCTAAACCCTAAACTCTAAACTTTCCCTAAACCTAAACTCTAAACGACTATGATCTCTGTCACGATGCACCCAAATCCACTCTGAATTCCAAACGAAAACCTCAACCCTGAACCCGGCAGGCCTCAAAAAGTAAACCCTGAGCCAGCGACCTAAGAAAAAGGGGCCTTAAGAATTCGAACAGGGTTTTGGGGGT